ACATTCAATCGCCAGATTCTCCTGCTGGGCTGCACAGTTTGTGGAAAATGAGTGCAGTGGATATTTCATAAAGACTCTAAGACAGAAGCCAGAATTCCAGTGAAATTTTCTTCCAGCTCTGCATGTTTATCAACCCGTGAATTTCAATTTGTTGGTTCAAGTACAGATATAGCCTTCCTGTCTGGGAAGGTATTTTCATCAGTGGGTAATATGTGTACTTATGAAGCTGTTCAGTGTAAGTACTGTATATATTTATTTAGTGAATCTATGTATCTTGTGAATCTTTACTGAACTTTAAAAATGATAACATTTCTTTCTGCAAAGTCAGGACCACATGTCACCAGATAACAATAAAAGAGGAAAAACGGAAACAACTCCTAGCAGCTGGGCTTTGCCATTTCAAGGATTTAAATGGCTCAGAATGGGATCTGGATCAGTGGTAGCCAAGATCAAATGGACCTAGATCAGTTAAATGCCTCCTCATTCTGCCTCTGTTACTTCTCAAAAACAAATTTTAGGCTCATTACAACATCCCTTCACCTTTGACTCTGGGCACTTAGCTGTTGCCAAGATCAATTATCAGGCAGACAATGCCCTCTGAGTGGGATGGCAAGGCTGTGTCTAGTGCTGTCAGCGCTCAGAGCTGCAGATCTGGCTGTGTGTGGCGGAACAGGCAGCAGCCAGGCCTCGCTCGCCATGGTTACTGCAGCCCTGGGTTCCAATCCAATGTGCTCATTTCCATGCAATGGCAGCTGCTTGTTTACCCATCAGAGAGCTTTGAAGTTGTTTATTTTCTCCCTCACAGAGGGGAGATGATAATGGGTAATGGGCTCAGAAGCATAACAGGCTCCAGAGAGCCTACAAGCTCAGCAAAAACTGTACGGACCCCTGCAGACACGCCTTTTATCAGCAATGCAACAAGGATTGAGCAAAGCAAAACAAAATAATAATATCGGTTAGAGGCTGAATAGAAATATTCCGGTAAGAGGCTTAGGGAACACTGTTTTATGAACAGGAGAAATACCCAAGGAGCATCTTATTTCAATGAACATATTAATATTTTCAGTGCATTTTCTAGGTAGACCCAATCTAAACTTGCATTTAGCCAATGATAGGCATGATGTGACACACAACCAGATATCCTAGACTCTTTTGCACTAGCTGCTACCCGCCACAAACTCACACCTTAACGCTACACTGCACCTGAGTGCCGTCCTTTGCTTACATTGTCAGATTGTAACACGTAAGGTGCCGCCAAGCTGGCAGAGCACTACAGCTTCAGTCCATTATGCCCTTCTGTGGGATGCAGTGCCACTGCTCGAGCTTGCCACACAGTTGAGAAGAACTTCTGCTCATGGTGTCCATCAGCCTCCACTCCCGGCTCTCTCCGCTAACAGACCAAGCTGCAGGCAAGTTACACATGTAAACTTCACTCACTGAGGGCTAGTTTGTCATTTATAGAAGCCTGCTGTCAGACAGGTGATGTCAGTAGGACAAACGAAAGAGGAAAGATAAAGGAGAGTGCCTGAGGAGTGTGGAGGAGCAGGAGCAGGAAATGAAACAGGAGCCACTGGCCATTTGTCTTTGGTTTGGAAAGAGTCCAACCGGCAACGCAAGGTTTCCTTCTTCAGACTACCAACCGGCATCGATGCATTCCTGAAATTCCCGTTTTATTAAGCTTTAATCTGGGAATTACATACTGGAGAATGAGTGGCGTTTTGTTTGAAGGCAAAATACTAGGAGTATTCTCACTGAGACGATCAGTTGTTAACTGCGGGTATCATGAGACATCTCTCTGGTCAAACAGCCCCATTTTGCACTTAATTTCTTCTAAGTGTAATTCTGAAGCTTGGAAAGATGAAGATCGCTTCAACTTCAAACTCGGCTACCTTGCTGTGTGTAGTAAAAAAATACATATATACCAAATATATTCCGGTGCGCTCGGCAAATTGAAATCAGAGCTGATGTGCTCACCTCCTTCAGCTTCAATTTCAGGAGACACTACGTCCTGATGGCCAAGTCTAGTTTTGAGCTAAAGCCACTCATTAGTAAAGATTCACAGCTCCAGGCACCTACTATTCTGGGTTTAACTGGGCTGAATCTGCTTTTGGTCTTGGCCTGGGGCTCTGCACCGTTCTCTGTTGACCTAGCTCCTGTATCTTCAGCAGGTGAGGTCTGCCACACTACTCTTACTCCTAGAAAAGACCAAACCCATGTGCCTGAACTAAAGTTCCCTCCAGGCGGCACGTTAATTCCTTACTGACTTATCTTCCTTTGACAGAATTATTTTTAGAAGTTTTCATTAATTTTTTTTCCCTTCCTGTGGCCTGGCTGCCGTAGATTCTTCAAAAAGCTGTGTTTTTTGCTCTGCGCTGAACAGTGAGCGGTCCCAGGCCTGACAGCTCTGTAAACTAGGAGTGCCTGAGCTGCCTCATTAAAAAAGGCCTGACAGAGCTCAGCAGAAGTGCCTCTCGATACGCTTTCCTGCCTTCTGCGAAAGCGTAGTTCCAGGTGTGGCATAATCAGAGCGTTTCTCACTCTATCCTGGTAAAACGTAACTTCTCAAATATTGTGACACACGTGACTATGCATGTTGAAGAGCAATTAAATTGTGGATGAGACAGTGCGCCAAGCGTTGTATTCAACAGGCAGGATAGGAGACATTTGGCTCAATTGCAGGATATCCTCAAATGTCTCTAGAGTTGCCCCAGCAATAGCGAGTGTCTAGGGGAAATCTCCCACAGGGGCCCCAGAGAATAGGCAGTAATTCTTCCTGCTGATTAACACACTCAGGGCCTCCGACACATTAAGCCCTCAAGATAAAAAAGGCACAAGCTAAAAGCAGTCAGAAAGTGTAAACTGTCATTGCTCTTTCTGTATGTGCTATCATAACATGAGGATAAGATGAGGATTAGGTGCCTGTAAAAAAGATCTTGTTTTTGTTCTGAGATGGTAATAAATGTCCTGTAGCCATTTGTATGTATAAATGAATTATCTCCACTATTTAAAAAATAATGTCAGGAGTCCTTTCCTCCTTAAAAAGAGATTAAAATGTTAATGTACTGTATCTACTCATACACTAGCAATTTAAAGCCAGAAAATGGTTAGCAGTTGCATGAATGGTTGAAGATATGCAGACAGAGCAAGCATGAATGGATTTATAGATCTCTAATCCTTTTACAGACAGAGTACTTGTTCTAAAGCTGCATATGCAATGTTGTAAGTAATACATGTGTTTAATAAGAATCGCTTAGAGAAAGTTTACTTGTTAACTGCCTGGACTGGAAAGTAAAAGGAGAGCAGCTCCAACATATCTAACCAGACAGCTCAGCAGATCTACCATCGATTGACAGCAGATGGAATTTGCAAACAGTTCCAATAAGACTAATTAACTGGAGTCTCTGTTCTTTTTATATCATGCACAAAGTCAGTCTTGGAATGGAAGCAGTCAGACACAAGCAATGAATCTTGCCAACGAGGAAACTTGCAGCATATTTAATTTTAACCCATTTAAATCTGAATTACTGTTGAGACAAAAGTCTTAAATTGTTTTTTTTCTATAAAATGTACAGCATTTTATCTATTGGAGTTACAGGATTCGTACTTAAGAAAGTGTTAATGACAGAAAATCTATTGATGTCAGATTGCGCTTCATTTCAAGGACGGATAGTCAATTCAATTACTAAAAGTAGCAGTCGGTGGCAGCCATTTCCTTTAGGACCTCCAGCTTTTCCTCAGAACGAGTGGGAATTTCTGGACACAATGTGAGTGATGTCATTCTGGTTGTTGACAGGAAAGCGCAAATGGCATCTTCCGTCTTTCCAAGACAGCCGCTCGGCTTGCTCTTGAAGATGCCCCGTTGAGGAGAGAACGTGCTCCCGGACTGGGTGTGGGGAGGGGGGGGGGGCTGGAAGGCGAGAGATGAGGGGATCCCAACACGTATGAACTACAGAAGAAGGGGAGCTTCCTGAGCGTGCAGGAAGAGAGGGAGAGGAACTGTAGAACACTACCATTCAACCTGAGAGTTATATACTGGAGGTGCCATTTACAGTACAAGCAATATATGTCAGATACTGCAGAAAAATACTTCAGGGCTCAAACAAGTAAGAAAATGTGAAAACATCTCATAAATAAGTTATCAATCAATACATTCCTGAGCAGACAAAAAAAGAAGTCACGATTAGCCCTGCTCCTGGTAAGACACATGTATAATTAATATCAGGCTACAATGAGCTGCAGCTGAGCAATCATTCTCAGGCTGGGCTTTGGGAATTTTCCACTGTAAAGCACAGCAGCCCTGAGAAAGATATATATAGTGTATACACACTCACAGGAACAGTGTGGCTTCAATCATTTCCGAGCGACAGACCAGTCCAGGCTGAGCTGTGCCAGATTGCTGAATGTAAAGGGATCTATGGAAAACTGTTGTTCAGCGTTCTGTAGCAAATGAATGATTTTCTGATAGAGAACAAGCAGTAGGGGGAACAGCCTATCTATGGTATGTATGTACTGTACATACTGACAGTCCAGCTGTGGCCTGGAGGCTCTGTGTTCTCCACAGTCTCCCGTCCACTCCTCCTAGAGCATAAGATCAGCCTTGTTGAGAGATGACTGTTAACATCTGCACGCAAGCACGCACACACACAGAGCTGCTGGGCACGTGGTGCGAAGGCCGGAGAGAGTCTCTTTTCCCCGTGTGCCCACACAGTTTAAACAAAGAGCTCCCTGCGCTTCGGAGTGGCAGGACTGAGCCACGGCGCTGGTCTGTCAGACACCGGTGGTCTGCAGCTGGCAGCTCTCCTTGGTTCTGTGAGAAAAAGGAAGCGCTCATCTGTTCTACACCGGCTCAGCTCCGATCAGCTCAGGGTACGCGCGGGATAGACCCTGTATTGGCCCATGCACACACACACGCACGCACGCACGCACGCACGCACGCACGCACGCACGCACGCACGCACGCACGCACGCCCAGACCAACGCCTCCCCTCTGGTCTCTGCAGGGCCGTTGGCCTCCACGGAGCAGAGCAAGGACATGGAGGAAGGAGGAAGCGTGAGGAAGCTTGTCCAGCACAGCGCCGCGCGGGGCGGCCAGAGCCACAGGCCGGCCGGGTGGAAGAGGAGACGCCCCCGACCCCGCCTCTCTCACAAGGGGCCCATGCCATTCTAGAGCAGGTGAGTCTGGTTTGGCGCCCCCTAGGGGGCTGGGTGTAGGATGTCTTACACTACGTCCTCCCCCTGCTTTTCCAACATGCTCTCCCAAGGGGTGTCAAGTGTAAACAAGTGGAAGCCATCATCTGGAAGAAAGGGAAACAGCCCTGCAATTTAAACCTTTTCTTATTGTGGATATTTTTCTATTTCATGCAGCCCCACAATATTGCCTTTTTGTGCTTTATATGGATTTGAAGCTTTCTGTAAGAACGTTTTCTTAATGAGTCTTTTTATTTGGCTTCCATATTCTGATAACAGAGTAGACTTTAGCAGGTTTACCGAAAAAGTATGCTTTAGAACACAAATATTATAATTAATCTTTATTTTATAAAACACCTCAATGATCTCAAAGCACTGTGCACTGTACCTAGGCTCTGTCACCTACAGTTCAACACAAGCCATACAGAAATGTGCACTGAATACCTTGTTTGCTTTCATTTTCCTTGAATATATATAGAATATACTTGAACTTATAGTGAAGTTACAATCTATAGTGTCTTTCCCTTGTCTGAAACTGAAATGTGCAGAAGGCAAACTGCCCACTACAATGTACAGTCCAGAACAGCTTATCTGCCTCTTACACCAGATCCCTACCATGTTATTCTGGGACTGAGGGAGGTAGGGGTGATGAGGTTATGGAAAGGTAATTGTTAACCAATTATATTTATAAATTAATCGTGTGTCATTGCGTCATATTGCTGTCCTATGACAGAGAGTATTTGTGAGAGGGCTGCTCTCTGAGCAGTTACAGCACAACAGAAACACTGGCAAGGAAAAGGAAAACACAGTCAATGTTTTCTTTTCAAAGTTCATGTATCAACCAGCCAGCAAAACATTACTCCGACCATGTCTAAACAGCACCTACAGGTAACAGTCTTCCTGAGCAAGGCTCATGTGTCCAGGCAGGAAAACAGTCAGCACAGCCAAAGTTAGATTATTTTTGGCAGCAAGAGCCCCATATCTTTATATCATTACTGGACTTCAGGCTGACCTTTCCCATTTCTCCAATAACTTCTCGAGTTTTATTAACAAAAGAGAAAACTCAAATTACTGGTGGTTTGGATTGTACAACTTAGAAATCATACCTACCAGCCAGGGCTCAACTCCCCCTTTCTAAAATAAATAATTTAATGAAAGCCATTTCCTTGAAAGACTACATTGGGGGGGTTAAGTTTAATCTTAATAGACCTCTAGGTCAGCTTTAAAATTTAAGAATATTTGATTTTGCAGGAAAACAGCTGTGTGAGCCATGTCTTCCAAATAATAATTTATATATATATATATTATTTTAGTTGTACTTTGTATTTATGGAACAAGTAATAGGTTTATTCCATGCTGAAAAAAAGAAGAAAGAGAACACAACGTTTCGGCCGTGGAGCCTTCTTCAGGTGTGAGCCTTTGTATTTATGTTGAGTTTGAACATTTTGTAGTCATCAGTCGAGGAGCAAGGGGGGAAAGTCACCCAACCTTTTAAGCAGCAGTGCGCCTGGGTGAAATGAGAGAACTTTAGAAAGCGGACAGGCCACTCGACAACCCGTGTGTTTTGCTGTACACAGTGATTCTGTCTCTAAAATATCTCGGTCTCCTCAGAATGTCATGAGAAACTTTCCCTACGCACGAACGTTGTGCTCGACGCTTCTCATTCGAAGCTACTACGAGGATCCAGATAATACGGTGCCTTTCAAATGACCTTATTTACTCCCTTCCAAGTTTCAGAAACCTCAGACCTTGTACGCAAGTCAGCGCACCTACAGTACGTTTCTGAAAGCATGAAGCGCAGTAACAGTAAATCTGCACCTAAAAATTTTCAGTCCTTACTCCCCGGTAATTCCTCGGAATAGACGCGAACGATAGTTTTCGAGCGTGTTCTCTGGCGGGGGAAAACAACCTGCATGCCAGCAATACCGAGAACTTCTGTGTCAGAGCAGACTCGTCCAGCTGTCTTACTGCAGCCCGGGACCCTTCAGCAGTACGCAGTAACCTTACAGGACATGCCAAAACACACACTGCGCAAACCTGCGGAGCTCCACCATAAATTAACCCTGAAGGGAAAGCCGTGTTGTAAACGTTCGAGGTGTTGTTGGTAAATGACGGGGTTGATAGGTTTGCAGAGGCAGGACATGAAAGAGGCAGTGGGTGAGCCGCCTTTTTCTTTATTTTTTTTAAAACGTTTTTCAGTCATGCTCCTGTTTCTTTCTGGGAATTAAGCTTATAACTGGTGTGCTTTTAAATTCTGCACTTCGAAAAGTACAGACAGGAAGACATCTAGGAAGCGCAGGTTGAAAATAGGACATTGTTCGCCTTACCAGTTTCAGTGCGCTTTAAAAATGGCAAAAGGCGACCATTTTTTTCCAGATAGGGTGGTGAATCCTATTTGAAACGAAGGAGCATCATGCGCACAAAAGCTATGCACGGAATGGTTCTGATTCGCTCAATGCAGGCGCAAGAAATTATTTTCTCTTTTTTTTAGTACACTTCATGGGTAAGATCTGTCTATAGTGCTTAGTCAGAAAACAGTTTTTGAATTAAGGATTAAAAACAGACCAATGGCAGCATTAAGAAAACTAGAATGCTGAAAATAACATTCCTAAACATTTGCTAAACATTTGCTAAACAGTGCAAAAGGCAACCAATTCAACGACAGGTTGTTCTTGTTGCACCTCCTAAACAGGGGAATTTTTACAGAAAGAAAAATATTATATATTTAACCACAGGCATCAATACCACACCCCTCCAAGAGTTTAATACATGAAATGTATGTATAAACTGCTCAGCAATGTTTAAAATTTGAATGTTTTGGGGGGATAGATAATATATTATTTTCATAAGTCCAGGCATTGTCTTCATATCATCTTCACACAGTTGAAGTTTTAATGTGTGAAATCTGTAACAGTCCAGCTTTCACAGACAGATCATTTGTGTCTGTTCCTTCCACTATAAAAAATCACTGTGGAAAACTCTGCTGATCAGGCCTATCCTACAGTCTGTCCCTCCTGAATGAGTCCCATCTACATGAAAACTGTAAGACTTGTAGTCCATCATGCTAAGAACCAGGCTGAGACCTGTCTCGTACTGGGGGAATTAATGTTTCAGCAGGCAGGACTGCCAACAGCAGGACCACACTGCTCACGCCCTGATCCAGGGGGCAGTTTCACTTGCCAGTTTTTGTTTTGCTTCTTCTCATTCTTCTCATGGGGGAGCCTGTCTTTGGAAACAGTGGGAGTCAGGTATTGTTCCACCCAAGAGGGAATGATCCTAGATCAAACTCAATGGGAGCTGGAGAAAAAGGCTCCATTGTGCCTGTCTGTGTTGCCAGTCAGAATTGGACCCTGGCTCCCATTAACAAGTGTGTGGGGAGGAGAAGCCCCCCCCCCCAAAAAAAAAAACACACACTCCCCCTGCCCCCAGCACTGTTGCCGATGGAGACGAGGCCTTGAGTACCTCAGCTCCCGCTGCCTGAACAAAGAGGCTGGGGGCCGAGTTCAGGCATGCTTGCCGGTTTTACAGCTGAAAGGAAAAAATAATAAAGTAATGAAAACCCTGATCGTTTTCATTCAGGGTTCAGCTGAACCAGTTGTACCTTCATGCCATAGGGTTTAGTAAATGTCTAAGGTCCAAGCATTAGAGATTTCCACAGGCAAAACCCACAGGAGAGAGGGTGAACTAGCAGGTGCCTCAATCCTGACTTTTAGAAACTCCTGTGTCATAACAGAGCACATGTTCCCGAGGTGAGAGTCTTTTCAGCCAAGCTGAACTCCTGCCAGGGTGTGACAAAAGAAAACAAATAACGAAAAGGCAGGAAACCTGATTTGAATCGGAAGAAGCATTCACAAAAAATAAACTTCAGAAATAATGAAACACTTAAATCCTGTTTCTAATTTGGCCACAGCAGCAGTTTAACTTAATGCCCAAGAATGGACCTTAGTCAGCACAGAGCACTGTGGTCCCTCTCTGAGTCCCTCAGAGGTGCAGCAGGATTAGGTGAGAAATATTGCCTTTCACACAGGGACTCAGCCATAGATAAGGCTTCTGGGGGGATTATATTTGATTAGGGAAACAGTGCTGGAAATATATTTTTCTGAGCTCAGGAGATTTTTCGAGCAATAAGATAGGGGCAGCAGCAGGACAGCACAGGATGAAGAAGTATGAACTGCAGTTTAGAGACTCGTACCTGGCCATGTGACTCCCAGAGTGATCTCAGACATTGCCTTGAGCATGTTGATTGGATGCCACTAGTGAGAAAAGTTAGAAAATCCCAACATTTGAGCATGCTTTATTACATATAGAATGGGCCAGTCTAGCTTTTTTCTACACAAGACATTTGTAGAAGAATGAACACTACTGAACTGACATTTGAAGTTGCTTTGCTACTCTTTCAGAAAGAAAATTAAATTATCATGGCTCATTTGCAGCTGTGTGTAAATATATTTTGTCATCAGCCGCTTGGTCACTGATTTGGGCTTTGTGATAAGTACTAGAGAAGACCAGAATACTGCCTCAGTGCAATCAAAGCGGGAAGAAGCAAGATAAAAAACTAAAAGATCTGAAAGATGATTTCATTCACGAAACAGATTCCAAATGTTTCGGGTGCAGGGTACACACATTGTAAGAAACCTATCTGACTGTCTGCACTGTTTTCCTGGTCTGGTTTCAGTTTCACAATCAAAAGGCCCGTACACTCCTGAATCGTCCTTGTGCCTCTCAGTCAGGCTCTGCCCTGTTTCCCCAAGCACTTTTGAGAATGAACTCCTATTGCATGGAAGGCATGATATCCTGTAAAGGCTTCTGAAGGAGCTGCTCTTGAGGCTTACAACAAGTACAGGCCGGCTTGGCACCTCTGCAATTCAATTAACATCACAATTTATGGGGGACTGCCTCGGCTTACACCTCTTGTCTTCTCCCTTTTCTTGCAGGCACTGCCGAGAACGCCCTTCCCCCAGATTCTGATCGCTCTTCCTCTGCACTGGGGGGCCTTGCAGTGGGGGCCTGGGCTAGCCCAGCCCGAAGACGGGCGTCCTAAACAGCGCCTCGCGTTTTTTTTTTTCAAGCAACTCTTCGTCTGCCCAGAAGGACAAGCCAACTCCCCCCGGCTCTGCAAGGGAGAGTGTGTGTGTTGGGGGGGTTGAGGGGGAGGGGAGGGAGGGGAGTGTGGGGGGGGAGGGGGGTGGAATCTGGAATCTGGAAGCTACCAGATTCTCTCTCTGTGTTTTCTCACTCGCTTCTAGAGCCCTTTCATTGCCCTCTGCCCGGAGTCACACACCCTGCATGACGTGCGGCCCACTCAGGAGCCCGGTCCAATCAGTCTTAGTCCTAAAGCGTCAGACCCTTCAGAAGGTGCGGTAGTGCCGTCCTCCAGTCCAAGGTGATTGTGGTCCTTCGTTCTGCTGCCATGTCGCTCTTCTCGGCTGTAGGAGTAGGGAGGAGGGGGCTTGCGGAGAGCAGGGAGGCGATCGGTCAGTCACGAGTGTCCAGCGCTCGGTTCTCCCCAGTCCACCCAACAAGCTTCATCCCCGGTCAGGAGACTACACTGTCGGACCAGCTACTCCAACCCTTCCAGGTCTGCAGCAGGCCTCCTTTTAAGAAAGCAAAACGAGGCTGTTGTTTATCGTAGACTGGCATGAGATGGTATTGCTAATGTTGTTGTTTTTTCCCTCAAGACTTATTTGAACCCAAATTCTGATGTTCCCAAACATTTAGTTCCAAAGTTTTGCTTTCACCAGGCTAAAACTGAAATTATACTCTCCTGCTTGTTGGCATCCTATGAAAGAATACGTGTACATGCATATTCCTTTTTTAGTACCTCTGTAAAATACTACCCTGCCAGCACCGCCAATGTAGTCATCTTACTGCCTTTTTTCTTTAATGAAGTGCCAAATGATAATTGTCTCCAAAACGCTGCCAGGTTACCTCAACGTGGAGCCTCGAAAGCTGACAAACACGATGCTAAATCGTACTATACAGAGGTCTTAGAAAACATGATAAGGAAGTCAGCTTTTTAATAAATTAGACCCCTGCACATTGTCTAACTAGCTCAGTATCCAAGTTACCTGTTCCAGCCTATCCTCGCTGCACTGTCTGCTATCTGACTGACTGGCATTAGAGTTCTTTACATTCATTGTGAAGAGATTGAAACTTTTGATTGATGGGATGCAATGCCTTTACATCATACTGGAATTTGTTTTGTTTTTCTCAGGGTGCTGTGTTAGAAGCCTACACCAGAGCTATCTCTGTTCTGTGCATTTATTTAAGTAATACTTATACTTATATATGTGTATTTATAATATTGTATATCTCTCTGCCTATATATGCACCTCTTGCTCCATGCTCACAGACTTGCTAACCACTGTAATGCCACCATGGGGATATAGTTGCCTTTTCAATGTTCAGGTCAGGCTCTGCAGAAGAGCTTTGTAGAGTTCTGGACTGCCATCATTAACCTATCAAGCGTGTATGGTCCGCTGAAGGCAATCCTACAAGTCACATCAACCTAAGTTGAATAGGATGCAGGTTAAGAAGGGATTAGCTAACCCAGAGTTTTTTCATGCAATTTGCAGGTGAGTGGCAGGCTTTAATGTGGTAATAAAACATTAAGGAGCATTCAGATACTTCAAGCTTTTGTCTCCAATAGCTCAGTGTTCATGCTAAATCTCTATAATTCCCTAAGGTAAAGTGAGGCAGGAACCCACAACTATATTCCCCAAATAGCCTTTCAGCTATAATGATGTTACTAGAAGCTGGATTGCAAGGATTTTCTTTTTCTTATTATTTATGAAAGAATTTGGTTGGAGCTCAAACCATGCAGAATGCAATCGTTTTTTTCCTGCTCGTTTTTAATGAAAACAGAAGAGCTGTGGTCTTTCAGCAGCTCTTCCAGCCTGCAGGAACATGTCTTAATAAGATCCAGAAGTAATAACAGTGATAATGTACCCGAGCCTAGCTTACCTTGATTAAAAATGCATTAAAATTTAAGGCACGGTGAATACTAATAATCTCAGTCTGACCGTTATTCTTTCATCCCTTCTGAATGATTTAGATTTGATTTATATTGCACATAATTGAGGAGTTTCAAGGGCTGCCTTGTGTGTCTGTGTAAGATCTCCGGTGTGTCTCGGAGACGGGGTGCTGGGGGCCCATGCAGCCCAGCAACAAGAGAAGGAGTGGGAAGGGGGAGTCGGGGTGTGGGGGGTGGGGGGTGTCGGGGAGGGGGCATCTGCACAAAGGAGGGGTGTGAAAAACGTGCGGTTCGGGGAGCCCCTGACTGTTAAGGTGCTGAATGAAGCCTGTGTCCGTGCTCCTGCTTCATGAATGTATCTCTCCATGTGCACCACCCTGAAGCGAAGGATCAGCACTTTGGCCCAAAGCCAACAAGCATGGGAGGTCAAGAACTGGTTTGAGGGAGGGGGGGTCTTTTAGCCCTCTCTGCCACCCCCTCAATATTGCTAAACCAGTGACAAATTCTCTGTCATTAAGAATTGAATGTCGCAATCTGAAACCAAATATCACAGATCCAAAGTACATTTCTTTCCAATTCACCGGTCAGTGGCACTGCTGAGAAGACACAGCAAAGAGGGCATTATTCCTCAACACTGCAGAGTTGTGCTCCCAGGGTCCCTGACTTCCCTTCAAGACTTCAGCGCACGGGCCTGTGAGGATGCACATTTCTTTTGCAATTCCATTGCACTGTTGGAAAAATAAATCAGAGGCTCCAGGCATGTAGTGGTTTTCCAGTATTTCACAACACTTTCCCCTGGTCCTTGTATAGGAATTGTACCTATTCATCAGCTGGCTGCCCAAAGGTAGATTGATGTTCCTTTCTGTCTACAGTGGGAACACTGGCTATTTGTTATGGTATTGGTCTAGAAATCTTTTTCAGCAGATTCTGCAATGGACACATTATAACTAACATGCATCCTGCATGCAGAGCGTAATCCACAGTCCTCAGAAGCGCATTTGAGTAATGGGCTTCATGGCATGAAAAGAAAAGATACACCAGCTCAAATTGAAATGGTAAACCAATACATTTTAATGGAGCCCTCCAGAGTTCCTTAATGGCCTTTTCCAGGAGAGCTCACGTCAGAGAAAACAATTCCTGTTCTCTGTTTTATTTTCATTAAATCACGAGGCCTGAGTAATGTTGTTCCTATGCACTTGCTAGCTCGTTTCTCTGATATGTTTGAAGCATTTCTAATTCAGATATTTGCTCTTATTCACCTGTGATTATGTGCATTTGGCTGGGAACGAGATGCTTAGGAGTGAAAGACTGCACGAACCCTGTTAGCATGAGTTCGGGGCAGGGAGCTGGTTGAGGGGGGGGTGAGATCTGCTGTTGAAGTATTGGCGATGGAAGAAGTGCAGAACATTGCGTCTTCATGGTCTTCCATCCCAGACACATCAACTTTGGGAAAGAAAATGATCTTTCCTGAGCCAGGAGGGGCTTTCCTGTCAGATTCCACTAATACCCTTCAGAAGGAAAAAGAGGTGTGCGCTCTGCTTTTTTTTAAAGTAAAACACAGGCTGGCGAAGAGGCCAGGGAGCTGAAATGTACTCACTGTTACTCACCTCTGCTGCTGAGTGATCAACAGGTTGAACAAGATTTGACCTCCCAAAGAATTTCTGTTACTCTGAGAATCATTTCTCCTGCAGCACATTCAAGTGTGACCCAGTGATACAGCAGATCAGCCCTCTGTCTATTTCAGTGCACACTCCTATAGCCTTTAAATGTGAATATGCCACTGCAGACGGTGAACAAGAGCTTAGGAGGAGCTTAGGAGGACCTACACCCACCTATTGTCTGACCAGTAATAGTATGTTGCAGAAGGACATCAAAGACATTGTGTATTACTCCGTTTCTTATTTTTCTTGTAATCAGGTGGTTCACATCTGTGTGTTAATATTACCTGCCTGGCCAAATGTACAGTCTCTGTTTGATGTTGAACTGGGCAAAGTGTATCAGAACTGGTTGAATACTGTGTACATATTTGAAATTTTGGTTTCTAATTTATAAAGATAAGCTTTAGCTCTTGGGAGTACCTATTTTTTTCTCTTTCATGCGTAGCTTTTGTGTTTTTATTTTCTATTTCTGTAAAGTGTGTAAATACATCTTTATGATAATAAGTAATATTAAAAAAAAATCTTATTTTAAGAAATCATGGAGTTTTGTCATATTTTTTCCTTTGTGACAGTTTCAAACGCTGAGGTCACGCTGGGCCAGCCCTGTGTATATGCTGCTCTGTACTCTGGATGGTGGGTGGTGGGTACGTTAGAAAACACAGTTCGGAAACCTTGTAAAACCTACAACAAACAAGCCCTTTGCAGTCCTGGGCTGAGCTGTGGGCAGAGGATGACAGGACTTCCTAATGAGGGGATCAGGACTAATCAAGGCGTTTACCTGCCTGTTAACCTGGTGACAGTCTGCAGCACACAGAATATTAATACAGCACAAGTCCTAAGTTGTGTACAGAACCTACATATTATGACAGTGGGTATTAGCTGTTTCCTTATTAACTGGCTAGCTATAAGTTTGTATTTGATGCTAATGGTACGAAAGCCAAACAAAAAGAAGCAACAAGCAATTGTAGTGCCAAGCATTCCATTAAGAGCGAGCACTGCACATCAGCATTGAATTGTATTGGCATCAGCAGAAAATGCTTCCAATGAATTATGCAACATTATGCACAGAGTTGCGTCCCTTCACATGGACTGCGGCAGCGATGATGTGGCTCTGCATGCGCTGGAGGGTGATTACTGAGAGGGCCTCCAGGGTCAAAGAGCAGAACGCGAGAGGTGGTGAGGGCGAGCCCGTTAATGTGCTGTAGCTGTAATGGGCATGTCAGCACCAGTTCCACACGCTGTAAAACGGCACCAGGCCAGGCCCAGGTGGCTGTGTTGTTGCCCTCCCAGTGGGCGCCCTGCTCTTTGATGGGTGTCGGTCTGAAGGACTGTACCCCCACTCCGCTCCACCCCGCCTTGCCCTCTTCTAGGAAATGAGGTTATGTCCTCAAACCCCAGCCAGCTGTGTAATTGGACTTGGGTCAAAGACGTGACATGGGGCGTGAGAGACGGCCCTCGTGTTACATAACACAGCGCAGGGGCGTGCCGGGCTGGGTCTTCAGCACTGCAGTCAAGCGGGACGGCTGGAGAAAGGGAGACACATTAGAGATCGGTTTGGACATCAGGCAGTTAAGGTTAGAGAATAAGTCTACTCCTGTCACTTTCATGACGTTACTGGGATTTACTGTGAGCCCCACTGCAGTTGGCATGACAAATAATCGCTTGTTGCGAGCTCACTTGACCAGTAAGTTTCCTAAGCTTTCTCATCAGCAAGTCAAGGTTAAAAGGATCCTTCCAATCCAAAGAATCTGGAGGCCTTGCTTTAGCACCCGATTGGCAGGTGTGTCATTGAACGCACTTTGCATAACCCCCCTTTTTAGGCTGAGTTAACTTCAGGGGGCACAGAAACCAATCAGCTGATGTCTCTGCAAGCACATAGCCAGGAGTGAGCAGAAATTATAACGTGCAGGTGACATAGATCAGCTCTGTGGGTATCTGCAGGATTTGTGTTAGAAGAACCGGACAAATTTTGAGAGAAACGTTTTACAAAAGAAAAAAAAAAGATCAATCAGATCACGTATTGCGTAGTGAAACCATAGTGCTTATTCCAGAAGACCAAACACAGTAAAGACAAGTCTGATAAGCCAAATACAGTAAGTCTGATTAGCCTGATAAGCCAAAGCAAAAAGCCTACATCAGTCTGCAGAGCAGTCAGGTAAGTACAGTGGGCGGACAGATGAAAAGCATAGTGAGCATCAGATTTATGGCAGTTAGATTTGGATAAACCTTCCTGAGTGCGTCTTAATTATTCTGAATTTTAATGCTAGCAGCTGAGAAACCCAGAGACTGTCTTGCATCCTGGAAGATCTGAAAAGATTTAATACCCAGCTGTGCCAACAACATCTGGAGCAGCCTCTGCACCGAAAAGCAGAGCTGGAGCTGAGTGCAATCTGAGCTGGCAGCCAGGATTTACAGCTGAGAATATAGAGACAGGATAGATGTTTAATTGGCTCTTCCACACAGTACTGTCGTACATAAAGAATCCCCAAACGCTGACTGCATTCTGTATCTCGTACTGGCACCATGATCAGTGCCCAGGAACTGCCAAGGGCAAGTGGAGTGTGCAATGCAATTTTCGTGTGAGTCCTTCTGTCGATACATCTATGGGGATCAATCAATGCTTTCTAGCCCAGTGCAGAGCTGTAAATCACCATCAACAAAGAGAGACAGCACTCCCACACCGGCCCCAGAATCCCCAGATGTCAAGGACTTTTTCTCATTCGGGTAGGAAGCCCAGGGGTAGTGTTACACTATGTGCAGCCCAATAGAAGCTCAACAACAAACACATGTCGGCGCGTAAGAGGTAAGACACCCTCAGCCCTGCATGGTTGCATGGTTTCACGGCAATTAAGTCAAATAATTAGAAACTGCAAATAAAACCCCACTCAGGTGTGAAGGAGAAACAACAGCCCCACTAATGTGCCTCAGCTGTATTAACAAGGACCACTCCAGACCAGGAACGGATCACTTGAATGGTCATAAAAACACCCCTGTCTGCCAAGTCCAGGGCAGGCAGAGGGGCGAGGGGAGAGAGTGTGGCTGCAGAGGGGGTGGGGTGGGTTTGGGGAGACTGTACTGAACTTCTAGCTCCCCACTCTGAGCCAGGTCAGTCAGCTTTAGGGTCAGCATGAAAAGCCACACAACACAACCTTTGACACTTTTACAGCAATTTATTCTCATAAATTGCGCATCTGCTCTTGAACTGCTTTCCCTCTAAATGAGCCCGGATCATTCCAGACAGCGTCCAGTGACACCGCTCATACTTCTGAGAATGTCCTCTTTAACCCCAAGACCACACGTTTCCCAGTGCTGGATTTCAGGGAGTATCTTTAAGTGTGAAGTGTGGAAAGAATGATTTCCTTCCAGCTTTTAAAACCAGGGCTATTAAGGAAAACAACCCTCTTCTCCCTAATGAGACAAAGACATCTTGAAGTTCTTAACACCCTTGGCTGGATGTTGTTTTTCTAATCTCTGCCTGGCTGTGGAAGTGAGGACGAGCGCCGTGGAGGAGGAACAGTGTTACAGACTGCTGATCATTAATGTTCTTCCTCTCTCAGTGACCTGCTCGCTGGGGGCGTGTGACGTCATCGGGGCACAGCCACACAAGAAACACAGGGATAAAGTACTGGGTCTCTGGGTGGGTCTTTTTTTCTCAAATGGGCACCAGCAGCCCAAAGATTTCTAGCAGAGAACACATACAGTACATCAGCCTAGAGCTGGGCTACGCAACATGTCCCACCCCCAATCTGCTCCAATGGTGTATGTCAATGTGAGCAGCACCTCCATGACTATATTGATTCTTCTAATTGTCAATTAATAATTGAGCAGCTGTTTGTAGCTCAACTGTGTATTGGAGCAGAATGCAAGTTATGCACACATGCAAGTTCATTTACTTCGGTTTGGTCCAGATATGATATTGTAACCCATACAGCCTCCATTGCTTGCGAGAGCCGGCTTACCAGAGCGGTGACGTCACCGCCCATCCCTGTGAATAGCAGGGACCGCAGCCGCCGGGCTGATGGGAGATTTCCCTTTGGCTCAAGAGGCTGGGTCCCTGTTGAGTGATGCCGGAGGCCTGGGTGTGAGTCCCTGATGGTGGGGGGCCGACCTGGTGTGGCAGTGGCGATGGTGCCCATGTGTACTCTGCAGTGTTACAATATCTTTCACTGGTATTTTATTTCTTCATGCAGCAGTCTTCTGTATTGTACAAGATTAAAAACAATGGCCAAATAATGAAATAAAGTCCACAATGGTTGAGATGTTTCTGTTTAGTGTTTTTTTATCTCCAGAGGTAAGCTGGGGTGTGTGTGTATACAGCAAGCACACGTGCACTTCCTAGTGGATATACACTGTGGGTCCGGTGTGACGAAGAACAAGGCAACATTCAAAATCTCCTTCCGGCATGTTATCAGCTCTGTGGAAAGTGGAGATTACAGTCAGATAGCTACAGATCCTGGTCCTGGTGACAGCACTGTTGGTTTCCATTCAAGGTCACTTAGGTTCAACCTGAACTGTTTACATGAACAGTTTGGCGCTGACAGCAGCAGCCTGCGCTATTATCTTGTGGGAGTGGTGAAGAGGCCGCCCCCACTTCTAGGTCTTAAGGAGAGGCAGCAGCAGCAGCCAACCAGACAGAACAAACCACGAGTCACTGCACCTGAGGCATTCCGCTCGTCTTTCCAGGAGAAAAGCAATCTCCCCTCTTCCCCAGGAGGGAGTGGAAGCCAGCGCCTGGAACAGCTGGAGTCTAGGAAATGGAGGAAGCTGTGGGATGGGGGGACGCTGTCTCAGGGGCTGGACCTTCACTGAAATCCACCGCCTCCCTCAGCCGGAGCCCCTGGCCCCGAGCCCGCCGGCTCCACCTGTCTTCCTGGGCTTCTGGGGGAGTGGGGCGGTCAAAGGGGACATCAGCCCTTGAGACTAGAACAGGGAGAAATGTGTCACTGGCCTGTTACGTATTTGTGCGACTCTTCTGGGGTGTATTCAGACTCAGTGTATTCAGAAGGGTGTAATTCCCATGTACATGTTTTTGAAATTCTGAAATTCTGAAATGAAGAGGAGAGTGAATAGATTTCGCCCTGTGATGTGATCCAGACACATGGCCACAGTGCGTTAGTGCTTCACAAAGCCGCTCCCTCCAGGCCTCCTGCTGTAACAGCTCACCCCTGCACGATGATGAGGATTCCTGGACGAGCACCGGGCCTTCTGCCACCCTCGGGCAGGACAGCGTCAGGGCCCCGAGGCTCGTGTCTGACCTCTTCAGCCACATCTGTGGCACCGACAGAATGAACAAAAAAAACAACTTTATGAATCATGCTGGCTCTATGCCGATCTTCGGCCGCTCTCTGTATCTCTGTAAGCGGAGAATCCCGAATCCAGTCCCATCGGCATGTCCGTGATCCCAGCTGTCTAGTCCGTGAATTGAATAGATCGTTACGGAAATAATTATTCCTGGAGGAAATGGCAGAGCTTTAAAGCCTCTCTGTCAGGATATACAGTCTAAAGCATTGGTGTTAATATCAACAGGGCAAAAGTGTTTCATATATGAGGCCTCCCTTTAATTCCTCCCCCTGACAGACAGGCAGTTCCAGTTACACTTTGAGCCGCTCCGCGGAGTCAGAATTGGCAGGGGAGAGGAGGGGAGAAGCCATCATGGAAGCAGAACTTGCATTTCTGGGCTGAACCTCCTGAGATCTCAGCAGCAGAAAATAAACTACAAAAAAAAACAGGCTAAGAGCGCTTCGCTTCAGGACTGAACAGGCGTACAATTAGAAGTGAAGACAATGACACCCTGACACGAAGTGACCTTTAATTGTGGGCAGCGCAGGGCTGGAGAGCTGTAATTGGCCGACGCTGGAGGCCAGTGGCCCTTCAGGATGTGAGCCATCACATCACTGCGCACGGCAAGAAAATCGCTGTCAGATGGCCACGGGGGTCTCGGAGAGAGGCACTGAACATTTATCAGACAGACCTGCATTCCCCTAAAACCATAACATGAAGCAGCTCTGCAGCTGGACAGGGGGAGGCTGGAACATGAAGTTATCAGGGCACATGAAGACTGCCACCCCATTTGTGCTGATTGTAGAATAGAAAGTGGCGCCTGTGACAGCAGTGCTACCTTCATCAAGAACACAGCAGCCCTGGGCACAAAACCTGTTTTCACTTCTCTTTACATTAGTTTTAAAAAATTGGTCAGAGGGCTGCACTGTTGATTCAATTTAAACCACCACCCAGTCAGCTATATAAGCCCCCCCACCACCCGCCCAGTGAGATGACATTCACATTTGTTGGCCTTCTGTGAGTACCATGCGGCTCATCGTGGAGAAGGAATGAGCAACTTGCTCCTTCTTAGACTGCAGTGGTTCCTAGAGTTTGGGAGCTGTCCAGACGCTTCTAATCTGCTAGGATTAGAAGAAGGCTATTAAAATGTTAATTGTTGGTTTCTTTAGTAAGTGCCAAAACTGCACATTTTTACAAGCTTTTGATGCTTTGAAACCCTGCTGTACATAGATGGCCATTCGATTTTTTGATGATTTGATAAACGTCTGTCCCAGAAGCCTTATAATCAGATCTACATCAATTAGAAAAACAGCAATTAGTCCAAGTGCAGTGAAGCCAGGCTGGAGCGTGAAACACCACTTGAGTAAGGCTCCTTCCTCGCAGCTGGCTCATCCATCGTGCCAGCTTTGTGAAGGGCACCAATGTGCTTGTAAAGCCAACACGAACAGCTCCAGGGGCAAAGATGCAAATTTCTTTTCATATTAAAAAGCTCAGCTTCAAGTAATAATGACAAGGGTCTGCAAATGGGTGTTGTTAAAGCTCATGCTTGTTATGGATTTTCTACAACTAAAATTAATGAAGGAGGTGCTAGTCAGGTAATAGATAGTTCCACTCGTGACAAGCGTCCAAATGATTATTCATATATTTTGGGATTTCCCAGTCTCAGCCCAAATCCCAAAGCGCTCTCTTGAATCAGAACAAGGAGCTGATGACTCCCCAAGCGAAGAGGTTTACTCACCCCGGCACCCAGAGGTCCAGATCAATAGACGTGGCGAAGAGAGCTGGCAAGCTGTGGGCGTTGGAGATAGAAGAGTCACCGCCTTAGACCTGCCCTCCACAGGTCATGCAGGGAAGGCCAGAGGGCTGGCCTGCTGTCACAGACACTACACAGCGCCCGCAAGCAGAGCACAGGCAGACACCAGGACTATCTGCTATGCAGAAGTGAGGCACCCTGATCAGAGTGAGTGCTTGCTGATACAAGCCGGACGGGACATGTGGGTGTGAGGCTGATAAACTGAACACAGGAGGATTTGGGAGGTGGATGCCTTGAAAACAAAAACAGCAAATTCCTGCCTTAAAAGAATGCAACTGCCTGAGTATTTAAGAACGTAAGAAGTGTGGCAAACAAGAGCTGGCCATCTGCTCGTTTGGTTGCTAGGAGCTAGCTGCTCACAGGAGCTCATCCAGGAGATACTTGAGAGGAGCCGGAATATCGGCTTCAACAACAAGGCTGGACACTTTGTTCCACACTCCCACGGCTCTTCAAGTAAAGAAGTGCCTCCTTTTCTCTGTTTTAAACACACTTCAACATAGTTTGTGTCTGTTTGTAAAAGGTATTTTTTGTGCCCTGTATTTTCCTTGATTAACATAGTTAACCATTCGGACAACGGCTCTCCAGAATTTGACTCACTTTTTCAGGGACGAATCTGTTCTGATCTTCAGGCAGATTCTTCATCCTTCCTCTACCAATTCCACATCTATCCTGTTCCATTCCACTGCCCTTGAGCTCTGTCTTATTCCTTCATAGTCCTCTTTCCTGAAATTATCAGCCTTATAAAAGCGCTCGTCAAAGCCATGCCATATTCTGACTGGGCCTGCGTTTTCCTCCCTCTGTCTTAATTATTTGAGAAGACTAGATCAGGACAGGCACTCCGTTCCAGTAGGTCCCAATCTGACAAGTTTCGTAAGAAAGCCATGGTTAGCCTTGTCTACCAAATCAGCTTCAGCAGCTGATGTCCCTAATCGTCTCTCCCAATCTAAGAGATGACAAAAATCATCCATGTTAACCACTTCTTAATTTACACACATCCTCCTGATGTCTTTGTGCGCTGAAAGACTGCATTTCAGATTTCAATGTCTGGAGCTGGCAGACTAGAATGCTCCTCACACTCTGCCATTTGAGTATTTGTACACTTCTTTCCAATGTACACCCTGTAGGTCCAGTTCCTGCACCTCCATGCTCTCTCAGTGCTACAGCTCTCCCTGTTCCACCATTCTCATCTCTCCGGATCACTGTGGATCCCTTAATTCTGTACTGCTGGCCTTCACTCCCTCCAAGTCCTGGTTCCGTCATCATCACATGCTGATATAGTAGCTTCCACAGTTTGCGTCTCAATCCTGATACTCCTGGCATATAGGTAGACATACCTCATTTCTGGGGTCTTTAGTGATTTGCTCTCAGCTCCCTACCTCTCCGCCCCACTTTCTTTGGATTCTCCCGCTTCCATGGGGAGAGAAGCAGGGGAAAACAAATTGTCAGGAATGTCCAAGTGCGCGGGCAACCCCTTCAGGTTTTGCCGGGTTCTGAGAAAGGTCCCGCTGTAAATAATCTTGCGGGTCAGATGTTAACGAGCAGGGCTCCTTGGCGCTCAAGCACTTGGTGCCCCTGCCCCTCTGCAGGAGGAGATGGATGAAACCCTGCCTGCTCTTGTTTTCTTTGCAAGAATGAGGTCTAAATTAGCCAGCGCGGTGTATTAAAATAAACCAGCAATACATCAAATAATCAGTAGGAACGGCAGCCCGTCTTTGTGGAGTTTTTATTAGCTCTATCTCCGTCTGTGATCAGCCCTGGGAGGCACTCTGGTCATGGTAACTGGAGCTAAGAGCTGTGCTTCTGTGACCTCTGGTTCCCTGGCAGCTCTCCACGCCTTGGCTGAAGTGCCAAAGGCTGAATTTAAAGGGAACCGAACCAGGAAGACAAACAAACAAACAAACAAACAAACTCATGGCCACATGTATTAAGCTACCGCTCAAAATATCTGCCAGCATCCGTTTATAAATGTTCACTTCATCAGCCAGCAGTGGAGAATTTCAGTGCGTTCAGGCCCTGTTTCACAAAGCTTGTTTGCCGTCTCCGACACAAACGTGAGCTATTGGTTACTTTTTGCATAAAACTACTAGGTTAAAAAATCTGCTGCATCTGGCATCCAGCAGTGAGCTGATCCTAGGAAATGTTTTAAAACTGGAAACTTGGGAAATTACAAGTTTTGTATGTAGAAAATGTATACGACACAAGGCATCAGATTACTGGTGTCAAGTGATGCAGATGGAGATGCTGGTACTGTATCTTTCAGCCCCCAACCTGAGGACTGAGGGCCCAAGCTGTGACAGAAGCACTTGGAGAACAGGGAAGATGCATTAATGGGCTGAGTGGCCTTTTCTTGGTATCAGCTTTTCTTAGATTCTTCTATCGGTGTGTTGGATAGCCCTGTATCCTACACAGCCCAAACAGTTATGAATTAGTTTACATTTCTTTTATTATCATTATCATTTTGCTATTAAAAATCTGTTTAGCAGGTGCACTTCTGCAGTAAGGAACATTTCAAATGCATTGCTATGAAAATGGTCTGAAATTCACTTAAACAGCAGAGCTGTACGAAGCTGGATTTACCTGCAGTGCTCCACACTGTGCTGCTCTCCACCTATTGTCTGCTTACTGTTAAAGTGTTTTAGGAGAAGAATGGCTTTTGCCCATTGACTCCTGGATTTACACCACTATAAATCACACTGCACTGGTGCTAGTGCAGAGCAACGTGGCTCTCAGTACAGCCACTCAGCCCACTCTGCAGACACAACACAGCAGGCCAGGACACACGAGCATCTTATCACTGTGACCAGTACGCTGGAAAATGTCAAGACAATTTGCTGCAACTCCTGTGTTTCATTGTTTAAAAAGTGGGCATCCGTGCCCCTCACACTATTGGACTTCAAACTACTCAATCTCAGAACAATCTGCCCTTGGGATTTCTGGGGGGGTAATAATTTTGCAGAAAGTGATCTTAAAACAGAGCCCCACCTCCAGCAGGAGTCTGAAAGAAGGAAGCTGTCAATTCAAACTGAGTCTCTGCAGAATCAATCCATCCTCAACTGATCTTTCTTAATCAGATCAATGCTCTTTCAGGACAACAGGCAGATGAACGCCACGCTCTCTGTTCTCCCTTCCACAGTGATCTCTACAAGCCATCAGGCAGGAGAGGCC